CTACGTGCACGTGCTGCGATCGATATCACGCTTCGTGTTGAAAGCGATCGATTTTATCTCGCCAGGTGTGCAGGCATCTCATGGTCCAGGGCCTACAGAATCAGAGTGAGCTGCCGATAGGGGTCTGTCCGTCAGATACGCAGGGTTGTTGCATGCAACAGAGGGGTTTATTCAGGCAGAAAGTGGCGACTTGCATAATCGCATCTTAAGCGTGAACGCAGGATATCGACATAATAGACAGTAAAAGGTAATAGGGTCAATTCCAGGGACGAAATGCTTCACAAATATTACATGAACCTGTTTTGCTGTAGTTTGTGGTCTGGCTCGGCGCATATTCAGTAGTCTTAAAGCGCTTTCCGAGAAAATTGATGACAGCGTCCAGTATGCTCAGACAGTAAGGTCGTTTAACTCATGTCTTCCATTGCTAAAAATAAATGGGCCTCCAATCCTACTAATACTACTGCTGCTACTACCATTAATACTACTACAAATACTACTACTACTACTACTTCTACCACGATTAATACTACTACTACCATTAATACTACTACTACTTCTACCACTACTACTAAAACTTCTACTACTGCTCCTACTACTACTCTTACCATTTGTACTACTATTATTAATAGTACTACTACTATTACTACTGCAGGCTTGCAGGTCTGACGTCTCGCATTCTCCCTCGGAGCCATCATCAGAGACAATTGTAGATATGTGACGAAGACACAAAGACTACAGCATTCAAAACACGCATTTGTCCTCCAACGTGGCTAAGCCGGAGAGGTTCAGGTTCATTCACGATCAGCCACCTAACATGTCCTACGGACCATTGCATTACCATCTCAAAGATGAGGTTCCGTCTGCAATCCCACAGGAGGCTACAAGACGAAATGCTTTAGTACGAGAAAGCAGGGATTAGATACAGAAGCAAACGCTAACACTACATAACTTCAAGATTAGCCTACTTGCACGATTTGCGCTGTGTAGCACCTGTCCCGAACAAATTAACTTAGTCGTCCCATTTGCTGGACACTGCTCGCATCCTTCCGACGTTTGAAAAAAACCAATAACAAGGCTGGTTTATTTGCATGTCATTTATTTACAATGTCAATGCAGCAGAGGACACTCCAAGTGAACATGAAACAATAAATAAGCGCAGAACTTTACATGCGGACGCTTGCTGCGCCGTCAATCCGGTCAAGTGTCTCCACCGGGCTCTTGGACGACCAGACCCAAGATGTCAAGTCATTTTCAAAGTCGGCTGAACCGCCTGGTGCCGTGAGAGTCTCTACCGTGTTTTTCGGTTCGTCCAGGTTGCCTACAAATTTTTGCATATTTATAATGAAGTTTCATTTGAGGAAAAAGAAAACAGGAGAGAAAAGATATTTAACAAAGGGGGTAAGGTAGTATGAACAGCGAGGCGACAACTTCTGGCTGTAATGGTGCACTGCGCATGAAAATCCTTTAAGGTAATGTTAGCTGATTTAACGCTCTTGTGCCTTGTAAATTGGCTACGCGGATGAGGCAAATGAATGGCATGAGAGAGAAAGAAAGAATTCATTTTATAGTGTGTTGCCTTACCAAGAGCAAAGACGGCATTAGCGGAGGTGAGAAGAGTGAAGTACCGGCGAGGCTGTTTCATCTTGGCCAGCTTTGTCCACTGACCGAGCGGGTTCCCGGCGTCTGGCAGTGAGAACATCTCCACCACGTTGAGAGCCTTTCCACTCTTCCATCCACCGACGACCAGAATTGCTCCCCGAAAGGGTGTCGCTGCGAGCCCGACTCGTGCAGTTCTCATGGCGGCAGCTGGCTGCCAAAAGTCGGCGGTGCGCGCTGAAACTGTCTCCTCCCGCCAGTCTGCGCGCAGATTGCAGAAGACAACGGAAGCAAACTCAGAGGAGCCATCCGAGCCGCCAAAAACAAAAATCCGACTGTCGCCAGGCAGGCAGGCAGCAGATGGACCGAACCTCTTCTCCGGCAGATCAGGCAATTTATGCCATCTGTTCAGGCCAGGCGGGGTAGGAAGTGAGTAGAAGGAGAGAAATATTTTTTTTAGCAAAAAAGATGCACCACAACCAGCGCCTTCTCACCTGTCCTGCCTGACGTCGTAGACTTCACAGGAGGCGAGGTATGTCCAACTGTCCCCTTCCTTGAAGCAGCCACCAAAAATGCCAATCACTGTCTCCCCTCCGTCGACGGCGTGAACCTTCACGACGGCGGCGGCGTGCTGCTGGCGTCGAACAGCGAGGGGCGCCCGTTTGCGCCAGCGTCCTTCTCTCACCAGAAACTCGTCAACATCAACTAGCGCTGTGTTGTTCCATGCTCCTCCAACAACGAAAATGCTCTCTTTCGGAAAAACAAAAAAAGTCCGTAACTTACAAAAAATCCCCAAGAGCCTGATTTATTTGCTTAATTTACTTCCTACAAAACACTAAATGCTGTCGCACACAGAGGCGCTTGACTTCAACAAGCAAAAACATCAAAAGCAGACAAAATGCGCCGAAGAGGAGACGCAGAACTCTCCGACAACTCACCGCCCACGACGCTGTAGGAGGCGTACCAGCGGCGCGTCTTCATGTCAGCAACGCGATCTACCTGCTGCAGGCGCTGATCGGTGCGACGGACAGACCAACTGCCCTGCCCACCTTTGTCCTTTCCAAAGAGGAAGATCGTCGGGCGCAGACGAGGCCTTAAGTTGAAAGGGCGGGCCAGCTTGTCCTTGTCTGCAGCTCCAATCCACCGTTCAATCCGAGCCAGAAGCCGACTTGTATGAACAAAAAGTTACAGGATTGAAATGGCATATACTTACGGACATTAGTTACTTTTCCACAATTTTGGGTGAACAGAATACACTTACGCGCATTCGGGACTTTCCCAGATTGTTGGATATTTCTCCATCAGGCGATCGCGGCATTCCACGTCGGTTAGGTGCCACTGAACTTCTTTCAACATCGCCGGCGCGTTTACTTTCAGCTTTTCATCGTCGGCCTGGCCACAGGCACCAGCGCCCGTCCAGCGAGCAATCGCCGCAACAACCTCCTCCTCAGATCCCACGGGCAGGTGATCGCTTCGAAGCAGGCTGAGGACAGTTTCAGCCGGCAAGCGAACAAAGAGTTCAGTTGGTACGAATTCCTCAAAATGCTCCTTCATCAGCCCAATGCACGTATCAGCCAGTAATTTGAGATTCATAGACTTGGCAAAGTCCCACGTGGCTGGCAAATTTTCTAAATTTACTCTTTAGAGCAGTCAGTTAGAGAGGAATAGTCGGCAAATTGCGTACCTCTTGGCCATGAATATCGCTCCCCAATTCACCAGGGCGGGGAGTTCCAACATTCTTGCAAGCGCAATCAGGCCCCTCACGTTGTTCTCTGTCATCTCCACCCGGCCAGTGTACACATACTGGACGAGCGCATTTGCGAGACTATAAAAGTTGTATGCAAAACCTAAAGAACCAACCTGAGCGGCGCTGTCGGCCATCTTAAGACCGAATTCTCCTCCCCGAGGGGGCCACTGAGAGACGCTCGCAGGGAAGGGATGCGAGCTGCCAGCACTATTCGATGGACATGAAGAACATCGCCGTTCTTGACCTAACACGCACAAATGTCCGCCGTAACTAAGGGAAGTTACCTCTATGGTCAAGTCTTTCATGTCTTGGGCAAGACGAATTTCGTTTAAGGCAGGACAGCTTCGAAGCAGGGGGTGTTGGTCTTCGAATATTTCTGCTTCCTGGAGAGCCATTTGGATTTGTAACCAAAGCAGGAGAGACGGACGGAATGCCGTGAATGCCACAAGCGCCGCCTTTTACGGTGGCGCCATACGTTGCAGACGCACGCGCACGTACACCGGCTCTGATTGGCCGATTGATGCAAACTAGGAATTTCATTGGGTGATAGTTGGCACAGGAGGGGGCGTCGCGAGTTTTCATTGGTCAAGACGAAGGTGGCCAGAAGTCGCTGATGGCGTACATTACGTGCCAAATCGATTAACGTGTGCTATGTCGACGAGAAAACCGTGCGGGCAGGAATCGAATTATAGGTAGTAGGTTTCGGTTCCATGTCTACTCATAATTTAAGTTGGTGAAGATCATATGTAAACCCAGACAAACAGTGAGGCCAAAGCTCACTTGACAGCCAGGGTTGGATTCGGTCAAATTTGCCTAATTGACAATTTGACCTTCTCACCGTTTAGGGAAAAAACCAAAATATTTAGGGATATAACACATCAGGGATACAGCGTTCTGTAAATAATCACACATTTATGCCACTGGGGTGATATACTTACTACAGTCCTGACCAGTCAACCTTCGCCCACAGATTAAATATCGACATTAAAAGCACAAATTTAGTCAGAAATGCGAGCGAAAAACGCATGCAGACAGGACAGTGCCCAATTCGCAAACTTGGTCCACGTCTGAGAGAATATCGAATAGACGGGACTGGTCATTATGGACCATTGATTGTGCAATATTCGCGTGGAAGCAGGCAGTCCCAAGGATCTGTGACTGAAGGTTGTGAGCGCTGCTAGAAGAAAAAGCAAACGGCATTGTTTCCTCTGGATTCATTAATTCTACGAACGCAAGCATTTGATATCTTCACAGCTCTGTACTGTTCCAAGGGCATCTTCTTCTCCCCCTTCTTCTTCTTCTTCTTCTTCTTCTTCTTCTTCTTCTTCTTCTTCTTCTTCTTCTTCTTCTTCTTCTTCTTCTTCTTCTTCTTCTTCTTCTTCTTCTTCTTCTTCTTCTTCTTCTTCTTCTTCTTCTTCTTCTTCTTCTTCTTCTTCTTTACACCACTGACTTTAGATTACGAGACAGGAATCATCTTTGCCACATTTTGTGTCTTCGAACGAGAGCATACTTTGACAATCCGCGGTCCCACACCAATAATTCCTTCTTTCACCTACTTTAGATAACGGTGAATTGGACTTTAAATGACCGCAAAATTAAATTTTATGTGTTAATATTACCACTTCCGTGGAAAAGGACTCATACGTCGGGCCATGCATTGATGCACGGACCAAATATTCACACTTTGACATATCCTTTAAACTCCGCCATGACAACCAGCCACCGACGGCCATCTGCTTTGTTTACTTCAGCGCAGCACTCGAACCTGCTAATTCGGAGTGTCTCGACGGATGAGGGGCAGTCCAAATACCCCCCCCCCACCCCCTGTTAAGGCTGCTGAAGAATTAACAGCAAAGGAACATGTCCCTTCACGAAAATATGGTGCTCGCAGGTTTACACAATCCTAAGAATGTGTTTATGGACCCGTCACTGAACATACAGTGACCATGGCCAAAAAGACTACACCCGTTACCTGCATGAAAAATAATCAAGAACTTTTGGTGTTCGACTATCACTGTCTGAGGGTTACCCTACGGGCGAAGTGCACAGACTTCATCTCAAGTGAGATGGTCCGCATTCGCTGCAACATCAGGCCACCTGAGGAAGACGACACAAGTGGTTGAACACGTTCATCAACATGGGCTTCATGATTGCAGTTTTGTTGCCCTTGATCTGGCGTCGGTGCCCACTTCGAGGCGTCAAAGAGGAGGTCGACAGCATTCACCAGAACATGGAGGATGTACTTGGACCTTGTGCATTAGGTTTCCAACGCCGAAAAAGGTACTGGATCAGGCTTTCCAAATTTACTGTCGCAGATGGTCAGGTGTGGAACCGCGTATGATCAGCCAAGATAACGGCTGAATCAAGTACAATTAAGTAAGTACTGCTGCTCAAATTACTATGCATGTTATATCTGTTATATCCTCTTTTTCTGGGTTCTCGGCGGCAATCAACTTGAGAAAGCGCAGGGCATCAAATCTTCTGACAAGCAAAATGAAATGCAGACCGTATTCGAGTCCTAATTTCAAACGTACAACATCTGGTTTAAAGTGACAACCCGTGAGAGAGGAAGACGAAGGACGGTTTGATGCTGCAAGGTTAAAACGACATAAAACAAGAATGCAGCTATGTTTCGCCCTATTGCCTTGACAACACTTTTGATCAACTTCAAAGCACCACTACGAATAGACAAACGCAGTGGTATTCGGTACACCCTACTCACGCATTACTTTTCGCACAAATTCTTAAAAACTGTGTCGATTTGGCTGATAAGTCAATACAGGCCAAGAGAAAATAGGTTCTGTGATTAAACATGGCTGAGCGGATGTTATAGATGCTCAAAGGGGATGGTATATGGCCTCCTCTCGCCTATATTGAAATTTAACCTTAGAATAGAACAATAAGCTTCCATTTCCAGTATACATTCCATATGGTCTGGAGGCTTGCATCGGTAGCTCCAAATGCCTTGATCACCTTTTTTTCTCTGGCTCCCTTTCTAACCTATTACGCACCCATTCCTTTCTCGATTTTCCATAAACGCGCTGTTATCTTATTTTCTACTAAACGCATTGGCGTTCGCTCCCGGTATAATTATTTCGGGAAATCCTTTTGAATTACTACACTAATAATAATCATATTAGATTCCTTGAACCACTATGAGGACATGAACACAGAACAATGTCGCAAAATATGAACGGGCAGAACATTCAATGCAGACATAATAAAGATTAAAATAGGAGAACGCGTGTGGGAATGGGCTCATGTAATTGTCGATCCTTAACATGGCAGTGCGAGGTTGATAACGTGATCCAGCTGCTTATAAATGGAAAAATATTAAAATACTGAATGTGTACGTTATCGTATGATATGTCGAATGTTAGTCAATGAACGTCAGTAGACTACACATTATGAACACGAAATCACCCTCAGTAGTATAACATGTCTGTAGAGCTGTTTGGGAGTGCAAAAAATATCGTTCGGCAGGCCAAATATTTAGCTAACTTCAGTAACATAAATACGTCGGCTCATCTTCTAAATACATTATCAGTCCCCAAAATAAAAACTCTAACTTAAAAACGCCTCCCATTTCGGGGTAGACTTCTATTACGTATCTATTTTCATTTAGAGGTCGGTTTGTGTGTTTGATTCTCTTCAATGCATCCGGGCTAGATCACATGAATATTTTGATAGAAATTCCAAACATTCTGAACTTAGGTCCGAATTACAAAAATAGATAGTATTTACCCTCTCAAACAGTTCGTATTTCTATCAGGCAAGGTATACTAGATCAAAGAAATCAGTCTGGAGTTCTAATTTAAATGCTGGCCCTCCCTCTCTTTGCCTCCGAATAATTATCGAAGAATTACCTTCCAGACCTCTTCAAGACGAGGTCGCCTTGAGAAAAGGGGTGGATAAGCAATAGCAGCAAATGCATTCCGTGCGGGATCCCCCACTGGTACACGCCCGTGAATTCAGAGCCGAGCAGGGGTAGCGAACTCCTGACAAAGCCCCTTCACAGTCACATGTGGTAAATCGAATTGGCTACCTGCCGTGTTTGGCTGATCTTGTAAATGTGGAATTCGCACAAGTAGTGACTGCATGACTCAGACGCACCATGGCGCAGAAGGCTGTCTTCGGGCCTAGTCTACAAAGTAAGTGAAAGACATGAGATGAGTGCAGGGGAGAATAAGGCACAGGGGCGCGCGAGAACGACCACCGATCAATAAATACTGAACTTCACTGGGCGCTGAGGATAAACAATTAGATTTTATTCATATCCCCATAAGTCACGCAAGCAAGGGGAAAGTAATTCACGCGTTAGAGCAGGAAGAGGAGTATGCGAAGAAGAACAAGAAGAATGCAGAAGACGAGGATGAGGAGACACAAGCAGCCGAGGATCGAGAGGCAAAACGTGGGGGAGAAAATAAGAAGAGGCGGAGGAGGGAGAGGAGGAGAAGGAG